AGCAAGGCAAAAAGGTAGCGCTGTAGGCGTAGAGCAAAAAAAGCGACGACTTAGTAAGGCACAGGGGGACCTCCACCAACCCCCCCTTATATAGGCAGCAACCTAGCACTTCGCCTTCTAGGCGGCAACGGTCATGACTGTTCCCGAACGCATCGATTCCAGAGCCACCGCAGTGAGTCAGGAGCCGACACGTCACACCACCAATGGTCGTATTCGATGATCCAGGGGGAAATGGGGGAAGCCTCCGCCACTTGACACCAAGCACAGAATTGAGGCTCATGGCCCGCTCGCATCGGACTGCACCCTCAAGGGGGGAACTATTGGGGCACGGATACGCGAGTAGCAGAGGCCAACGCAAGCGAGAACTAACGATAATAGAATTGTTGAAGTAATGTCATGCAGGGACAGCCGGTAGGGCCTTCACCCACCATCAGGCGAGGACGGAGGTCGTGGCACGACAAGCGAAGGCCATGGCGCCTCAAGCGAAGGCGGAGGCCACGGCGCCTCGAGTGAAGGCGAAGGCCATAGAGCCCCAAGCAGGAGGCCACGGCGTTACGAGCGGAGGTGGAGGCTGCAGCACTGTGGGCCATGGTTGAAGCTGACTCCACCATAGCAGGAAGGTTCACAGCATGGCGGGGACCTTGGGCCGGTAACCAAGGCCTAAGGAGACAAGGTGGTGCAAAGAAGGAAAGGTCCAACTTGCCCTGGGCTACCCCTACTAACGGAAGGATATTCAGGGAATGTACCATAGCAGTTCTAGGGCAAAGATGTAAAAAGAAGAGGTACTGAACAACACCCTATAAAAGGGGAGAGCTGGAGCCTGTATGGTTGGTTGATGAATGCATTTATAGAACCCTAATTGTGCCAGGACCCACCTACCACTTTCTTAACCTTCGCCTAGGGTATCCGACCGAGCAAAGGCTCTTTCCGTATCACCTACTAGAAAATGCTACTTTCCAATAGTGATCATAATGAAATCCCAATTGGATTTTGAACATCTCATATGACACATATCAAGCAAGTACTCATCATATAAGATGGAATTTGAGATGTAACATTTGGGTAAAACCAAATTACGCTTAAGTCTATAGCTTAAGCATGTACATCAATCATCCAATATTCAATTGATATTGTCTACCAATATCCAAATAATATTGGACAATTGTGCTATCAACACTAATGGTCATTCAATCCCTAAATATGGATCAATATCCATTTAGACCCCGGGATGATAACCTTAGTGCCATAAAGCGCTTATGTATCTTTCATATCGTAACAGGCCTAATATTGCATTTGTAGATACTTGCTATAGCTTGAAATAGCGCAACTTCTATAACACCGAAAGGTGGGAGTCAAAGAGGATATCCATAGATATCTATATGGCACAAAGGATCTTGATTTATTGTTATATGAATTAAAATATGATCATAGTTGGGTATATAGATATTGGCTATTTATTCCCCATAATGCCATATCACATACTGATGTTATAGTGGTAAAGTTCTCATTGGAGTCATCAAATTTTACTCTAGTGGCTACTTCCACTCCTCATTCTGAAGTATAACATGAACATGTATGACTTCATTGAATGGTCACTTTTGATTCCATCGAATCACTAGCCATTATCTTCAAAGATAATGCAACTTGTGTTGCTTGGATGCAAACAGGTTACATAGGAGCAATATCACTATACTGCCTTCTAGAAATGTTTTATTCTCACGAAAGTGAGAAGATAAACACCTTGCAAACTAAATCAAGTGATAACTCCATGAGATTTATTCACAAAGTTCCTACCAATTTCCACATTCCACAATGTGTTGTTGAGATTGGTATGCTATGACTTTGAGACTTGCAAGGTTCAGGGGGAGTCTCCTCTTGAAACTATAACCTGTTCAAAACATCATATTGTACTATTTTCCTCTATGAGTTTTTCCTCACACGGGTTTCTCATAGAAGGTTTTTAATGAGGCAATATCAATACAAGTTTATATGTCACATCTCTTATTTTCCCCACCGGGGTTTTTATATGGAGGTATCTTAGACATATACATGTCATATCTTCTGTTTTCCCCATAGGGGTTTTTGAGAAGGTATCAAAGACATATAATTACAATTATGATCCTCAGATCATATTTATTATTCTCTAAACTTGGTTATGGGTTTTTCCTTTCGAGGTTTCCCATATAAGTTTACAATGAGACAATAATCAACATATGCCATATCATTTTCTCCTTATTTTTCCTACTGGATTTTAAGGAGTTTTAATGGCATATCCACACATATTTCTCCTCATTTTTTCCCACAGGATTTTTGGATAAATTATCTAATACATTGATCTAAGTGATGAATGACGCTATTGATCAAGGGGAGTGTTATGAATCACTTTGTTAGTGATCAACCGCTCTCTTAGAAGGCACCCCTTCGGAAGAGTCCTTTCACATGTATATATATGTACAACCATGGATCAATGAATGAACAAGAGTTTCCACTCTCATTTGTCTCTTGAGTCTCTTGCTTTACATCAAAGACACTCTACACTAAACAAACCCCGTGCTTCTCTCATCTGACGTAGAGTGGCACTGATCTTATAGGTCTATTTTTAATTCTTACTGCCTCCATCCGAAAAAGGGTATAATTTTAGCTTCATACTTAGTCAAAACTTCAAAAGTTTAGTCAATATTGTAGAAAAAATGTCAATATTTACACCACAAAATATTTATACTATAAAATATGTTTGATGACGAATATAATAACCCTTATTTCGTATCATAATATTAATACTTTTTCTATAAACTTGGTCAAACACAATATAATTTGACTTGACATATATTATGCTAGAATTGTATTCTTTCGTGGAACGGTAGGGTATTTTTTTTAATAATCTTAGTTCCAACAAGCCCTTGAAGGAAGAAAAAGGTCAACAAAAAGTTTGAATACTTCCTTCAATTTTATATGTCGTATTAGGTTTGTCCTAAGTCAAACATTCTTAACATTGACCATCACTTTTTAAAAATTCATATAGTTTCACAACATATAAACTATATATTATAAAAGTTATCTCTGCTTAAATATTCTCTAACAAGCATCCCTATCTACCTCATGTCTATGATAAAATTCCCAAAATGGATGGTAGATGCCATTAACTCTTATATGATCGACTTCATTTGAAATAACTCGAAAGATGGCATACAATTGGCATCTTATGGTTGAGAAGGAGTTTGATGGTTTAGGTAAACCTGATTTAGTAAATTGATGTATGCTCTCCTCCTGGATTTCAAGATATCACTTAAGTGATAATGTCCTATGGAAACAAATTGTAGACGAGAAATATGTAAATAATAGTCCGAATCTTTTTTGTTGTTCCAATACCAAAACTTCACCCTTTTGGAAGGCCGGGCTTTGGTAGCAAAGGCAGCTAAGTTAGACTATTGTTGGAGAGTGGGGATGGTACGAAAATATGTTTTTGAGACGATCGCTGGTTTGGCAATACGAATCTGGCCATTTAGTTCTGACCTTTGTATGTGATAACTAATGGACCTAATATTACCACCCATGATGTGTGGGATGGGGACCAACTGAAGTTGACCTTCAGAAGAACCTTCTAACCTTAGATGATGTCTCTGTGGTATGATTTGTTAGCCACTGTTGAATCTATTAACAATTTCTCTAAGGACTATGATGCTCTTATTTGGGAATATAACTCTAGAGGAGTATCCTCCGTTCAATCTTTTTTTTCTATACACCATAATCTCCTTTAGAGGGATTAAGGTAGTTTATACTCCTGCCATTGGAAATTTGTGTACCCCCTAGGGTACAGATTTTTTTTGTGTGTGTCTGTTAAGCAACAACGAACTGCTCACCAGAGACAACTTAGCTAAAAGAAGAGATGTAGAAGACAAAACTTGCTTTCTTGTTTTGTTGCGAAAATGAAGCTATTAACCATCTTTTTTTTACTGTTGTGTGGCTACAGATATAATGTTTGGTCAGCTATTGCTCAAACTTTGAACAGTGTGACTAGCACCTGCTTTGAATCAATGGTCAGGTTCTGGATTTGTGGCAGGACACAGATTATTAAGAATGTGTGTCCATCTCGCATTTTATGGGGCTTATGGAAAAACCGCAATGCCTTGTGCTTTCAGGGGGGATGCTGGAAGAATACTATGGTGACAATACAAATGGTAACAAAAATGATAAGGTGGCAGGCAACATACAAGGAGCAAGATTGGGAATCCATGGAGCTAGTCATCAAAGAGAGCTGGAAGCAGAAGTAAAAAGCCAGTGAGCATCACCAAGCGCAGCAACAAACCAACTCAATTGGGAGTGAGGAAAGCCAAAACTTCACCTCAACAGAGATGCGGCAGCATTTTTTTTCCTCTCGAATACACAAAAGGCTATAGATGTGCGGCAACATTTGAAGATACTGACGGCATAGACCCAAATCATATAGCTTTTCATATGTTGTTTAAAGTCCAAATGGATGATTTTGGTGGACGCGCCTAGAGTACCTCTATGTACTGAATGTTTGCAAATTGGGTGCTTTGTACCCTGTAAATAAAGCGGGAGAATACCTTTTTTTCAAAAAAAAAAGAATCTACAAACATCAACCTTATGATGTTATCTATACATTTTTTTAAAAAAAAACCTTGATGATCAAACAGAAATATTTGATTTAGAACAAAATTAATATGGCATGTAAAAGAACAGAGGGAATGGTACATTAAAAATCAACAACAATATATTGTTGGTCCAAACCCATTCCATACTTCACCAGCCGTATTGCTGGATCTTCTACATCATGTAGATCAGTTGGGTGGTGGAATTTCATAAATACAAAGTTGTCGAGATAAATAAAAACATTACAAAGAGTTGCACTCTGCGAGCAAACCAGCAGGCCGTCCAGGTACAGGCGTACAGTACAGCCAGTCCTACAGTCTCCGGCCCTTCATTGGTTATCAATCAAACTGTTTGGTTCCACACTAAGCACCTAGCAGGTCTAGGGGCTAGAGTTTTTCGTAAATCAGCCGCTCGAGCTCCTTCATATTTGCAGCTTCCATGCACATGAGCACGCGGACGCCGCCGTTGCCGGTGTCGTCTGCTACCCCGTCGCTCATTAGGTACACAAATCCACCACGGACGGACTCCGCCCGCAACATCACCCCTGGTTTCCCCCATCCGAAATCTGCATCGTACATTGGCACGCCGAGCCAGCTGATAATCTGCAGGTCCGTCTCCAGCAAGGTGCCCTTCATAGGTCGGTTGTCCACCTCGGCCATCTCACAGTAGTCGACTGCAGACCGCACGAGCTCGTCGTCCATCCGATCGATGGCGTCTTTGATGCGGCCGGCGACGGATGCTAGAGACTCCGAGGCAATATCCCGCACTGCACCAGTGACACCCAGCCTGACCAACGCGTTGCCGAAGTAGCGGTTCGGGAGAGGCGGCCTCACTCTGCGCCTGGCATTGGCCGGGAAGGTGAGGCATGTTTCGGAATCGGGCGGAAGCCGACGTGCAATGAGCGCGCACTGCCACACGAGGGCGCTCATGGCGCAGAAGGTGCTTGTGCCGCCACAAAGGCTCTTTAGGGAGGCTACTTGGTCCTTGGAAATGGCGAAGACTTCGACGGCAAGAGGTCCTGAAGGGTCCGAAAAGGTGAGCTTAGGGTAGAACCTCGAGAGGGCGTCAGGGTGGACGGTAGGCGGGGACCGTGCACGGAGGAGGGTGCGGTCATGGAACGGGAGCTCCACGGTAGCGCGGTCGCCATGCTTGGAGAAGGCCGACCACGTTTGGAAGAAGTGGAACGCGCTTGTGGCGTCGATGGCAACGTGGTGGAGAGCCGTCCCTAACACCACACCTCCACACTTCAGGAAAGTCACCTGCAAGCATGCACACACACGTCATATGTACAAGCACAAAGTAGGAGAATAGTTTACAACCGATCGAGTATTCGACTGCATTATCAATATGAAGCAGTAGATCAGTACATGCGGATTAGAAAGCAAGAGAAGTTTTGGAGACCTGTATGGCCAATATGACGGATGTTGGCTCAATGCGTGGAACAAACAGCCTCCTCAGCTCCGGTGCCGGCTTGAAGTCGTCCTTGATGTCATCAACTGTGAGGTCGGCCCGAGCGACAACAAAGACTGCACCCTCGCCGTTGCAGGTGATCTCTACCCTGCCATCGTCGTCGACGCCGAGGCGGCCAGCGAGGGGGTAGAAGGCCACCAAGGCCTTGGCCATAGCCTCCTTGAGCCTGGCCACGTCGAAGAAATCATCGTCGCCGGCGGCAACGTTGCTGGAGCTGTACAAGTAGACTGTTGGAGTGTGGCCTCTGTTGGCGGCAATGAGGTCTAGGGGAGAGAGCCAGAGCCCCTCCTGTGGTGTCGGCTCCTTCGGCACTACAAATGACGACTCTACCACCTGCACTACCTCAGAATCCATGATGTTCATCTCAATTTCTTCTCACGCGCTGACTCATTAGCCACAATCAGTACCGGATATTAATGTTAAACTGCACCAGCAAGGGACAAAAGGGTTCATGCTAACATCTGAACCTGTGTCATTTCACGAAAATAGTGTTGCTTGCTAGACGACTTACTGCACGCTTGATCTGCAAGAACCTTACCTGGCAGTGCCATGGCATCTGGGCTCGCGATGGGGGAGGAGATTCCGACGGGTCCGGTCTGGAGAGAGGAGCGCAGGCTGGAGTTGCAGGGTTTTGAGCTAGGAAAGAACGGATAAAAGGAGCTTATATTACTATATTAGGGGATCGAGGACGGAGCCACGGAGGGGGAGGCTCACGTTGAGGCGCCGAGAAGGAAATTATGGGTGTCAGCGTCGAGTGGCACTACCGTGCCAAGCTATGGGCCGAGTATGAATTGTGTGTCGGGGGGGGTCAGCATAGAGTGGCACTACCGTGGCAGGCTATGGGCCGAGTATTTGCATTACTGCCTTTATTCTGTTCCTGATAACCAGCATCATTGCCTTTATTCCGAGAGGAAAAAATAAATTAGAAATACTATACAACACATATATGTTTTAGTAAAAAAAAACACATGAATCTGTCCTTCCATGGTCCTTGCAGCCTGGGCTGTGTGGGTTTGTATCGTACAGTACGTGTTGCAATGGCTCTGCAGCAACCCATGGCAGTGCCAGTGTCTGCCCACTCCCACCGTACCTCCGGCCGGCGTTCAGCTTCGGCAGCAGGAGCAGGACACCAACGCACTCCCTCTCCCTGCTTCGCCGCCGTCCTAGCATGCATCCGGAAGCGGTAGCAGAGGACCACCACCATCGTGGCGGTATTCAAGAGCCCAACCAACAAGCAGCAGAAGACGCGCGTGCGTGGAGGCACGGACGGCATCTTCGGCACGTCCGGCAGCAGGGTCTGTGATGTGTCCTTCTATAGAAAAAAAAATTATTTTTTGTGATCTGTGAATCTGTGATTTTGTGATTTGTGATTGTCTGGGGTAGAAGAAGGCTGAAGGCTGGAGGTAGAAGAATGGTGGAGGCTGTTGGATCTCAATTATATGGTATAAAAAAATCATGTGTTGAAACTACATAAAACACATGGTTGTTGGATAGACGGATTCAAATAGAAAAGCCTAAGGGGTGCTTGTTCCTCGCCGCACGTTTTTCAAAGAAAAAAAATTATATTAAAACTTGGCATAGCACATTTTTAAACTACATATGAAAAATATGAAATAAATAAGATACAATAATCTATCCAGATTCTTCCACCATCTTCTTCCCTGGTTGTTATTTTCAATGCAGTCCATGCTCTAGATGAACAAAGTCTTATTGAACACCGAATTGAGAATGCAGTCCTTATAACGGATCCACTGTGGAGTAGCAGTGCTACTGTAGCACCACCACGAGTGCACTGGCCCTTGCCGCCTTGCGGACGATAGCACCAGTGCACTGCCGCGCTGCTCACCCACTCCACGGCGCCATTTCTGGTCCAGGCTGCCCTCGCGGGCCAAAAGAGAAGGTGAAGTGAAGGTGACATACTTGAGAGACCGAAAATCCAGTTCCGCAGTCTCGCTCCAAACGAATGCTCCGTGCGGTTAGCAAATCCAGTTCCGCAGTCGTTCGCTCCAAACAAATGCTCCGTGCGGTTATTCCCACGGTAGGTTCTACTTTCTTTCCTTTCCTCTAAAGTACAGTACTTCACTGTATGCGTTTTCCTTTTTTTCCCCCAAAAATCACCGCTGCACCTTAATTCCATTTTAGCGGACCGTCCATGAGGTCGTGATAGGGAGTAGGTCCCAGTTTTCTCCCTGTTTTTTTTATCCTTTCCATTTTTTTCAACATTTATCCTTTTCATTTTTGTTTCCTTCCCCTTTTTTTCCTTTTCCTTTGTTTTTTATATCAACCTATCCATCTTTCTTCTATGGTCCCGTTTGGCAGGGCTTCGGCAGGCTCCGGCTCCTGCACTGTAGCATCATGTCGGCCGCCCAGCAGCCGGTAGGTGCCAATGGGAGTCGGAGCCGCGGAGCCCGAAAAATAAGCTTCTCCGGCTCCGGTGGTGTCAGTGAGAGAGAAAAATAGCTCTGGTGAATAGTACCTTCCTGTCGGCCGCCCAGCCGCCAACATGCAGGAGCCAGAGCCGCCGGAGCCCAGCCAAATATATACTTACTATTACTAATTAGAGGCCTCAATAGAGATACCACGTCAATTCTCATCAAATACGCTAGGAAAAAAAATAAATCCTAAAAATTCTAACAATAATTAAAAACATCTAACCTTTAACTATTCATCTATGCTATTATGAAAAAAAAATACGCAAAGTTTGAGTTGTTTGACTCGTCGTGATGTGAGAATAGTATTCTTTTGTGGTAGGAGGAGCAGGTGTCCAGTCACCCCGTGGCAGAGGCAGCACCAATGTGCCGGACCCAAGCAAGGACAGACATGCCATGCCGGAGGGAATCTCTCTGCAGCGCTGCCCGGCGCGGCGGCCCACACCAACCTCTCCCTGTCTTTTTTTTTTCCTGACCGCGTCACACGGTCACCAGGCAGGCACTGCTGCCCTTTTGCTGTTTGCTCATCAACAACTTGTAGTGCCAGGCTCTAAAAAAACTTTAAAAAAAAGAAGCCTCTGTTACAGACTCAGATGAACCTTAACATTCAGAGTAGCGGTAACAGAGTTCTTAGGCGAGTAGCAGAGGACTGGAATGGAGGAAGGAGAGCAAAGCAAGGGGAATAGTCCAGACGAGAGCTTGCAGGAGGCAAGTTGTTCGATACACCTTTTTTCGTCCCCCTCTCTCCTCTCCTATTACATATATATCAGATCCGTTTCCCAGATCACCGTTTCACGCCGTTGCCGCGCCTTTGCTCTGCTGGAGCGCCTCAGGTCCATGTGCTGCTGCCTCCTCTTCCGAAGCTGGGCCAGGCCCATGTGCTGCTGCTGACTTGCACGGGTCCGCATCATGGGCCGTGACAGCCTCGCACTCGCACCGTTCCGTTCCGTACTGCGTTTTCACATGGTCCCTGCACCTGCCCTGCCCGGCGGCCGGCAAAAGTCCATTTCCCGCTGTTTTCTTTTTCCTCCGAAATCCCTCGGACTCGGATCCCACGTCTCGCTGCGTGCGCCGGCGTGCCAAAGCCAAACATGGCGAGGCACGAGAGCACGAGAGGCTTTGGTCCCGTCTCTAGTTGACTTTCCACATCGATCGCTGTTGCTGTCGCCCCTCGCCCGTGCTGTGTGCCTTGGGAGTGGCACAGCTCAGCCCACCGCGCGATCGCCGATCGGTTTTCAACTTTTCAAGCGAGAAGTGAGAGGAGACCGGAGTAGCACGTCACGAGTAGAGCAGAGAGCCTGCCCAGCCCCAACAATCACCGAGCAGGCAGCAGCAGACGCGCGAAGCGAAGGTGCCCTCGTAGAATTCCCTCGTACGCACGTCCCGTACGTTCTGCTGCCGGGGCCTGGAGCTCGTATGGAAATCAGAACGCGGCAGTTTTTTTTCTCCCCAATACGCAGGAGAAATTGCATATCATCAGAACGCGGCAGTAGGGTTGGCGAATTTGTTTAAACCGACGATCGGTTTGGTAATCCGATTTAGGAAAACTTCGGTTTTGAGAAAGTTTACAACTGATCGATCGAAATCGATTTCGGTTGGTTTCGGTTTCAACCAAGAATCTAGCGCCATTTTTTTCCCCCTATTTTCCTTTTCCTTTGTTTTTTTATATCAACCTATCCATTTTTCTTCTATATATTTACTATTACTAATTAGAGGCCCCCAATAGAGGTACAACGTTAATTCTCATCAAATACGCTAGAAAAAAAAAGATAAATCCTAAAAATTCTAACAATAATTAGAAACATCTAGCCTTTAACTATTCATCTATGCCATTATGAAAAAAAAAATACACAAAGTGACACACTAATTTTTCATCTATATTACTCACATCTGTCATTACCAAAGATAGTCCAACATAACCTCTTACATTTGTATATAAATTACCCACATCTGTTGTTAAAAAATAATTAAAATAACCCACTAAGGCCCCGTTCGCTTCGCTAAAAAAACAAGCCAAAACACTGTTCCTCTGAAAAAACAAGCTAAAAAGTACGGATTATAAGACAAGCGAACAGGACCTAAACATGCATATAAATTACTCACATTTGCCATTGTGAAACATAATTCAAATTAACCCCTAACATTGCATCTAAATCACCTAGCTTCGTCACTATAAAAGATAATTTAAAATAATCTTCATACTTTGTAAAAAAAATGACTCACATATGCCACCTTGAAAGATAATTTAAAATACTTTCTAATGATTTTATAAATTATCCATATTTATTATTATAAAAGATAATGCAAAGTAACTTCCTAAGTTTGCATTCAAGATACCCATATGTGCTGTTGTGAAAGATAATATAAAATATTACCTTTATATTTGTATCTACCTCAATCATTATAAAAATAAAAAATATCTCTCAAATCTACATGTAATATTAATATATTAATTAAAAAATAAATCAATATCCATAAAGTATTGTACATATATATTTCTAAATTACAGACCTCTACAACCCTGAAATTAAATACCCATAATATTGCGTTCCATCATGTATACCAAGTAAACATATATACATTAGAATAAATATTTACCTTGATAGCTCATGCAAAATAGAAAATGCCCACTTAACAAACCACATAGCAATAACACTGACGATTCACTTTAATTTATATTATATTTCATGGTAATAATAAATTTTACTAAAACATTACGGCATATCAATATTGGTAAATTAATTTTAAGCACTCTATGATATATAAAATAATACTGCACACATATAACCTGTGATATATACCAAATTCAACATTTTCAGTGCCGAGGTGCTAGCTAAGTTTCAACTTAACATGTGGAAAACAATACTACTAGGACCTAAACTCTTTTTAATAAAAAATTTAATAAAAGATAAAATTATGGGTATGGGCGAGCGG